CCCCCCCATGAGCACAGCCCACTCCTGGGATCTTTTTCTGAGCCCCCCTCCCCCTACCAGGGAATAGCTCTGGCTGCCAGCTTGTTTCCCTCCCTGGGTTATTGCCATGGGGGTGTGCTCGTTTTCACTAATAAGCCAGAGCGGCGTAAATGTGCTCGTTCCCCCACTGTGTGCGGATTGTAGCATGTCCGTCATGTCCGAGTTTTGGTCCTGCTGCTGAGTTACTGCTGTAATGCTATGCTCCAGATTTATCTCTCTTTTGAGACAGTAGACAGCATTGAACATGCCAGTGTTATTTTGGGGTGTCCTAAGGCAAATGTGCATTCAGTGTTGACAGACAACACGCAAATATTCCCTTTTATCCCCACAAAGAGGCTCTGTTCTCCCAGAGCAGATAAAAAATTATTAATAAGCCCTTTTGGTGTTAAAGTTGCCTGGGAAATTTCAGTTTGACCATCTAATCCGCACAAACCAGATTTTACCTCAAATCCTTGTGCTCTAAACTGGTTTGCATACATTTGATTGGGTAGGACAAGTAAGAATTATTCTCTACATATCCAAACCTTTGACTAGAGGACTTTCTTACAAAGAAGAAATATATTCTTCTTTGGGAAAAAAAGAGCACTGAACAGGATATTAAAATTAAATTATAATAAATGGGCAGCTGCTCTAGAGCAGACCAGAGGAGGTCAGAATGCATTTAAAGGACTCTTTTTGCCAGCGATTGTTCTCATGTGACTGCGCAACATTGTTACAAAAGAAATCCTGTCATCTTCTTCAACTGCAGGATGTAGCAAGAGAAGGACTTCAAATGGAAGATGCTGAGATCATAAAGAGGCATACAGAGACATATAAAGGCATATAGAGGCAGTGGGGGATGGTCTAGCATGCCACTGCAATAGTGAGCAAACTGTACTTCAAACAAGGAAACTCATTTGTCGTCATTTGTATCTCTCCTGGATCAGCTAGGTATAGCTGGAACAAGCAATAACAACTTACATGTTTGCTGCCACACCAAAGAACCATGAGGCTTTTACTTCAAACCCTGGGGACAGTCTTTGAGAGCTGGTATGTGAATGAGGATGTCTGTCTGTGTGTGTGTGTGTGTGGTCCAGAAATACCTTACCTTGTGGGGACCAAATGTCTGCATAACGTGACACATACCCATTTTTTTTTTTGGAGGAAACTCATCCATGACTGCAATCCATGGAAAAAATCCAAAAAACTAAAACTGCAAAAATTTTGTTTTGTTACTTATGGTCAAGGTTAGGGCTGGGTAGGGTTAAGGGTGTCATGTTGGGATTAGGGTTTTCCCCATAGAATTTAATAGAGTCCCCACAAAGAAATAATTACAAACCTCTGTGTGTGTGTGTGTGTGTGTGTGTGTGTGTAGAGGGTAATCCCAGTCTCCCAGTCCTGCTGACTGAGGAAACCAACCATGTGATCTTATCAGTTCCACATACCCAAACCCTTGAAAATTTCTAAACTGAAAATTTGTGCAATGTTTAAAGAACAGATACTCAGATAAGTATAGTTACTGTACATCTGGTGGACCCTCAAATGGTCAGACATGTTACACTGCACACTGCTACTCATTTCTAAGGAGGGAATCGTTTCTTCTTTAATCCAGAATGGAAAGTCAGCTCTACACTCTGGCAAAATCTTCTAAAGCTTCTGTCATCCTGAGTGACAGTCATCTTACACATAATAATCACTGTGTTAATGATGTGAAGAAAAAGGAACATAGAACCTTCTAACCCAAACCCAACGTCCCCCCCCCCTCCACTACCATATTAAGGAGCATTGCCCATCAAATTCATCCCAGACCAGTGGTTTCTGTTTGAATAGCGTTGTGGTCTTTGTAGTACATTTGAGACAGATGTTTACATGGATAATAAAATGAGCCTAAGTACATAAATGCCCATGGAGCTGTTAGGACACATAAAACTGTAGTCTAAGAATCCCATTTCTCTTCTTGTCAGGATGAAAAAGATAATTCACAGTGGGCCTATACGGCCTGCTGTGCCACAACCGGAAAAAAACAGAGCACCTTAAATACACACTGGTTTAAGTGCACTGTGTTAGGGGAGAAAGGTCACCAAAATGAATTCCTGAAATACCAGCCCATGTTCATTAACTACATACAAAAGGAGAAAAAGAAAACCAAAACTAAGCTAAACCTTGTTCTCAATAAATAGAATTAAGTTACCACACCACTGGAAACAGTAGCTGTTTGGTTAAAATCTCAAAAAAAATTAAATAACAGTGAGGTAAATTTCCACGTCTGAGGTTCACTCCAGAATCAGTGCCTCATAGGACAGGTTGTTGTTGAGGTTGCCATGGTGGGTTGGGCTGAACTTCTCTAATGGTATTTAAGAAAAACTTCACTTCAGATGGGACTACTTTACCCAAAGCAACATGCAATTAAGAAAGTAGGGTTAGCTAGTTCCTAAAACTATTGGGGTCTTGCTCAAGATCCCAACAGTGGAATCACTTTGCCAACTATGGGAGTTGAACCAGTGACCTTCCAATCATGGGCGTATAGTCCTAACCCACAAATCCACACACCACCTGTTATACCTGGGGGTCAATTAAAACTTCAAATACATGCAGTTACTGCAAAGCAGTAGATCCTTAAAACAACACTATCATAGTGCTTGCATTCACCGATCAGCCAAACATTAAAATCACCTGCCTAATATCGTATAGATTATCCTCGTGTTGCTAAAAACAGCTCTGACACCTTGAGGCATGGACTTCACAAAACATCTGAAGGTGTCCTGTGGTATCTGGCACCAAAAAATTAGCAGCAGATCCTTTAAGTTGTGAGATGGGGCCTCCATGGATCAGACTTCCTTGTCCAGCACATCCCACAGATGTTTGATCAGATTGAGATCTGGGGAACCTGA